CCAGGACCCTATGTCCCACCCCCTTCCCTGGACTTGGCAGGGCGACCCCTTGAAATACTGGCTTTTGTGGATCCTCCTGCCTAAACACAGACGGAGCTGTGCTGGGCTGGAGGCGGCCAGGGCGTCAGGGTGGAAAGCTGGGCAGGGTCCGGCTTTGTCTCCTGTAAAACCGTCCCGGGCAATGTCTGGTGGGGGAGGGGCACCTTGTAGGTGACAGTGAGGCCAGAGGCTCCGAAAGACAGCCTCTGATCGTTCACACCCAAACCCCAGGACCTTTGCACATACCCAGGACACGGGAATGCTAAGGGCACAGGCCCGGTTGTGGGCTCCATCCCCAGTGGGGGTCGTGCAGGAGGGAGCCGATCCATGATTCTCTCTCATCACGGATGTTTCTCTCTCTCTCTCCCTTCCTCTCTGAAATCAATAATAAAAATATATTTAAAAATCCTGTTGACAGCCCAGCCTGTCCTCCCGGCTGGATGCCCCCCCCTCAGCCGGCCCGGGGGGCGGTGCTGCGGGGCCTGGGAGGGGACCCACACGCTCAGCACGGCTCCCTCCGTGGGTGTAGGTGGGGCTGCTCCTGGGGTCCTCCCTGTGCTGATTCACGCCCACAGTCCCCGGTGGACACACGGGTGGAGGTGACTCACGTGTCACCCAGGCAGGTGGAGGTGCGGCCTGGCCACCTGCCCACGGGCGTCTCCTGTCCTTCCTCAGCAGGACCCAGCCCCACTTGGCTCCCTGCCCTCTGCTCCTCTCCCCGGCCCCCCAGGGCCTCCCCAGGCCCCCAGGCCCCTGCAAGACTGCAGACCCCTGAGGCTACCCTGACGGTGCCCACGCCCCTCTGTCCCCCGACCCTGCATCCCACAGCCTGGGGGGTTGCACAGCCGGGGTGGGGTGGGGGAGGGGGGCACTCACAGTCCCACCCCCACCTCTGCTGCACCTTCCCGCTCTGTGACCCGCCCCGACCTCTCTGAGCCCCTTTTCTTCTCTGAATTACTGGGCGCTGCCGGGTCCTGGCCAGACACACACCAGTCCCGGAGCAGCCCCAGCCTGGGGTGCAGTCCGCCCTGCACAGAAGGGGTTCCACACGTGGGGTGGGCTGGCTCTCCCGCCCGTGGCCCTGAGTGCGG